TTTTTTTTTTTTTATGATATTACTTCCAAGGGCTGAGAAGAAAAGAAAAAGACTCTCCATGTAATCCTCTTAGACCAGTTATTTTCTTAGTTTTAAGGATTCTCAGTGCCTTTAATATGCAAATTTGTGCATGTTACGTATAGGAGCAATACCAAGGTGTACTTTTAAAATTTATTTTAGTCATGGAATCACTTTTTCCATATCACACATAAGACTAATTTTCTATTGTTTGTATTATTTTTCATTTATAATTCAATTATATAACAAATATTGTCCTCAACATATCATCAGGTAGACGACAGTTTAGTTAATCAGTGAAATGACTAAGTTAAGTGACACATAAATTCATCAGGCCAACGCTGTCATCGACATTAATTAACTGTTGTACCTTCATCTAGTGTAACATCTAATGCCTGCATCTAGTAGGCATTCCATACTTGTTGAAAGAATGACAGTATGTCTGTTGCATGATCATTTTTCCTACTTATCTTTGTTAATTTTATAAATTAAGAGACCAGTAATTCCTTCTACACTTAGCTTCCTGTTCATATCTTCTCATGTGCCTTTACTAACTTCATGCCCATTTTTGTGAATTTGCACTCATTTCCTCTATTAATCTGTTATAGTCTTCATTTTTTTCCTCAATTTTTGAGCTCTTATATAATTATGACTGTGGGAAAAGAAGTTTTTCATACTTTGCTCTTAGTGTTCACTGTTTTTTCAAGTAAAAAACATAATGTATGGACCAAATCTGTTCATATTTCCCTTTACGATTTCTAAAAACTGCATAAATGCATAAACCTGATGCACTGTGCATGCTCAATTTTACTGTCATCTAGTTTGAATATAATTTTTTAAAAACAAACCATTAAGCCACTTGGAATTTATTTTTGCACAGAAATTTAAGAATAAACTCTTAAATTATGGTAACAATTAGTAAGGTAAAGAACTAAACTGATGTCCCCTCTCCCGTTGCAGGTCATTTGTTCCCACCTATAATTCATTAGCAAGAGAGGATGTGATATCTACTTTAACATATATTGAATTTATTTTTAACTTGATCCATTTTGGGGTTATCTACCATTCTACTCTTTGCCAATACTG